TTTCATTCTGATATTCAGGCTTGCAAACATTTTGAAATGCTTCTCTAGCAAACTCGTTTTATTATTCTTTGCTCCATAAACACTGACCAGTAGTTACGTCACTCATGTGTCTATCTCTATTGAGCAAATTTGTCGTTCCTATCTATTCCTAAATAATTATTATTTTTTTTCTGCTCTTAGTTTTTTTTTACAGCCCTATTGTGTATTACATATACTTATTTCACTCATATTCATATCCTGGCTTGCAAATATTGTGAAATATTTCTTAAGCAACCCCGCTTTTACTAAGCTTTACTCCATAAACATCGACCAATGATCTGGTCACTCTCGTGTTTATCTCTATTGAGCAAATTTCTCTTTCTATCAATTTATTATTCTTTATTATTTATTCTTCCGGTTTTTACAACATTATTTTACATTGCCTAGACTTTTCCCCCGTTTATACGTATATCCGGGCTGGCAAACATTGTGAAACGTTTCCCTAGCAATCCCGTTCTTGTCAAGCTTTGCCCCAAAGACAGTGACCAGAAATTAGATCAAACATGTGTCTATCTTTTTTGAGCAATCAATCACAACTTTTATATTATTTACTATCTCATCTGGGAAATATTTAATGTACATGCAGCTTTTTTTTTGGAAGGTGCCTCGTTGTGTACCTCTCGTTATTTACTGATCAATATCTACTATATTCTTACTGATCAACTCTCAAGAATCATACCTTCAAGGTATATATTTGACATAATATCTACATTTCAGTATTAAACTGAGACAGTCTTGTCATTTATTGAGCTTTCATCATCTAGCTCATCTCTACATCATATACTCTTCTATCATCTTTTTTTTTATATTTTACTCTATTTACGAGTTTTGAGAACAATTCTCTTGATAGGGCCTCCGACTAAGAGCGTAATCATCTATTACCATCCTGCTAGTATGCTGAACAATTGTATATATATAGCACTACCTATAACCAGAGTTTCTAACCATATTATCAGTTGACCTTCTATATATATATTTTTTTAATTTCTAAACCAGAAGTGACCAATACAGATCAGTATATTCACCAAAAGTGTTCATAAGTTTTAAACAAATTGCAACAAAATAGTATTTAGCTCCACTGCAGGCTTTGCCTATATTTATCATTTATATCTAGAAGGGAACTTCTACAATCTCTGCTACAGATATTTTACAGCAAGAGGCATTACCTCTGATTTTGAGACAAGGGATAACCTCATCTTTAATTATTAAACAATCCTAAGTGAAAGGAAATCAACATGATATTTATACATATAAGATCTGTTTCGGTATAAAAATTGTCCAAAACAAATCTGTCTTCAAAATAAACACTAGCCCCAACTAAAACTAGTGTAGAAACTTTTAATTACATATAATATATAAATCTATAGTAGCCAAAACAAAACAACCGTTTTGCTGGCACGACATAATATCAAAATAATAGTATTTATAGTGTCGAGAATTCATTCTCGCTCCCGACATCATGGACATTTGTCCGTTTTCCTAACCACGAAATGCCCCTCTATTGTTAAAATTTCTATTGAAATTATTCTGATTTCTTCTGTAATTATTATCTTCTCTGATTTGCTGACCATTTTGATTTTTGATAATAATTACTTCACTCGTCAAAGATGCAATGCTTTGTTTGATTTCATTTATTTTCCGTTTCAGCTCATGCTCTTGAACGGTGTCAGCATCGACAATGCGAACATTTCGACCTTTCTATATATCAGCAACTCGTAATGCCTCGAGTCTAACGGCAATATTCTCTGCCTCATTAATTGATTTCGGTCCAACCTCCCTTAACCTGAGTCGTACTTCTGTCTCAGGAATTGCATCAATAAAATAATCTAGAGCTAAAGTGTCCCTAACCAATGGAAAAGTGCCAGGATAAGCCCGACGTGTTAGTTTCTTAATAGCCTGAGCTAATTCAGGCAGACTTTCGTTTTTAAATCGTACTCGTGTTTGCAACTCTGCTCTAAACACTTCAGCTCTATTGACTGAACCAAACCGAATCTTAAGAGACGTGACCAAACTGTCAAAATCGTGACGATCGACTTCCGTGATTTCATTAAGAATTGCCCGTGCTCCGCCAGACAAACTGCTAGCCAATAACAAAGCTTTTGTTTTTTTAGTTCCAATTGTGCAATTATGTTAATAAATTAAGTTGAGTTAAATACTCTTCTAAATCATCATTACCGTCATAAACTTGGGGTTTTATTTTACAACTCAATTCATATTTGCCATTTGACCTTTCGCTATCAACTTAATTACTGTTATTACTTATGTCATCCCTTTCTCTAGAAAGTGTTAGGGAACTTACTACGTCCCTACTACTATTTTCGGAAGGTTTACATGAGATTGCAGAGACAAGTCTCGTTTCAAAATTTGAGAACATTTCTTGCATTCTTTTAGTGAAATCTGACATACATTGGTTCAAAAACCTTCTCATTTCCAGTCTAGCCTCTGCAATCATTCTATCCGTTGCTCCTTCATTTCTAGACATTCTAACAGGGGAACTTTCAAAGCTATTTTCAGGTAGCGTTTCTTCATCGTCTTCCCTATTGTCTAGATGGGGCTTGAACGAAATAATATCCGAATCGTCCATATTTTACAAAATATAAGCCTGATATAAAGAAGCTGTATCAATTCCAACTTTCAAAACGACTCTAGTATTAAATCCCAACGCTGCCACAAAATTGAAACGCTGCCTCCCTGGTGCTAGAGTCGGCCGCCAGAGAACACAGGGTCACAAAGAAAAAGAGAGTAAAAGGATCTATAAAGTGTACGGTTCGACGTCCACTGTTTATCGTCGGACCAAAACACGTTACAGAAAGGGAAATCGTATACTTGTGTTTATATATAATTCTCAGTTACTAGTATGAAATAAAATATCTGAATAAAATAAAGTTTCATATTTTATTAATATCAAAATTAATCCACGCCGGAGTGAATGGGTCTTGCAGGCTCTCTCACTGGTCTGGCCAGGTCCCCGGTAATGGTTGGTCTTACATATACGAACAAAACTAGTATATAATTCAACAGTCAAGTAACAAGGTTGTCACTTATTTAGAATCTTTCTATAATCTCAATTTAAGGATATTACACCCTACTGCACTTAGAGAAGACAACAACTTAGTATAACAAATTAAATGACATATTAATCATGTCGGAACCGCCATCAGAACACTTAATGTGCACCTTCAATATCACTTCAATAGCACCGTCACTAGCACAGTCACCGTCACCGTCACCGTCACCGGCAACCGTCTTTAACACCGTCACCGTCACCCGTATTTAGCACCGTCAGCGGCACCGACAATCTTAAAATTAAAACAAAGTTAACTTTCAACGCTTGTCTGTATTTCTCAGACATATTCCAGCTTCTTTTAAAGTTTGTCACTTCCCATTCTTTGTCAACCCAACACTCCCTCGGTTCTGTTGTTGTTTTTGCTTTTATACTTTCGATAGACCAATTGCAGAGCTTGTTACATATTGTTTACCAATCGGCAACCATGGATCACACAAGGTAAATTCCCGTAATGTTGATATTGTTTGTAAAACATGGATTTATCTTCATCATTAAAGATGGTTTTTGGCTTTAAATACATTAGTAGATCATTAGAAGAGTTTTATTTGAGTTTATATTCTAATAAGGTAATTACCGCGAAAATATGGAATCAGTCTGACATTACTTGCAACATTAGACATCTCACTAACATCTATCGTTTATCCTCAATAATTTCAAGAAACTATACAGACATAGGTTTACTATAAGAAGGGTGAAAAACCGGCATTACAATACGATACAGTTACAGGGGTGGTAATGACGTTGCTAACGTAAAATGTTATTTTTCGCGACGTCAAACTGCGACATATTGGAAAAAGATGCATTTTTCGAGTAATTTTAATCATTAGCTTGAAAACGAGTACATGGACCCCTCTTTTGTAAAATGACATTTTACTGGATACTGTATGAAGCATATTTATTCCAATTTTTTAAGAATAAATCACCGATGAACTTTTTTAAATTAGAAAAAAATACAGCAAAAAATGTCGTTTTTTTTTTTAAATCGTGAAAATTTAATAAAAATGAATTATTTCCAAAGAATTGTTACACAAATTAAGAGGATACTTTTGTAAAGAAGATATTCCAAATCGTTTTACAAAAAATCCGCATGTGTTTATCTTTTGAAACAAAAAAGTTTAATATGTCTATCCAAAGGATAGAAATGTCCAAGAAACTGAAATTTTAGGTAAATGTCTAAAATTTCGACCCCACTTATCTCTAAATTTAGCACCTAAAGGTATATTTTTTATTACATATTTGAATTGACCATGTAAAAAATAGCTTGTTTGCAAATTTTCGTAAAAAAATCGCCGTGGGATCGAAACTGTATCGTATGCCCTTAACACCAAACACAAATCAAGATCGAATTTGGATGACGTCACTTTCATCATTCTCGAGTAAATGTCCCTTTATAAACTATATCTACTAGCCGGAGCGTGAGTGTCTATTGCACACGTTCTTCTTTTATTACGAAAAGCATTTATAGAGATGAAAATCAAAAGGGGACTATACAGAACCGTAACAGTTTACCTGGTAGGCTGCGGTTACGAACACTCAACCACAACTGTCACGCACTGTATCATCTATTAGTATTAAGAACCTAAATATGCAGGTTTTGCTCCATACAACACAGACTCTGTATTAAAACACTCAGTTGTTATGACATAGAGACGGGGCAATATGTTTTGCAATATAGTACAGCATTTATATTTATATTTATAACAGAGACAATTATAAAAAAAAATACACTCTTACTTCAATATCTAAATTGTAGATATTTTTTGAATAAACTATCCAGAGAATATCCTTAAACAAGAATGATAACTCATATTTAAATGGGAAACAGCATTCATTATTAAACCAGGGTTTTGTCAACCAACGTCTTGTCCTTTTTTTCTCTCTTTCTCTCAAAAAGTTAATCAGACGGTACCAAGACTAATTGGAGAAATATTCATTGTCAACTTCACAATTCATTACATCCCTTTCTAAATCTACTTCGAAATTAAAGGCTTTGGTATGTCATATAAGAAGTCTTCATGAACTATTGCCGTATCGCAATATGCAGCAACTTGCCCATGTTCAACATCGTTCGACATCAATGAAGTTCCTGCTGTACCCGGACGTTTTGTACTATCTTTATTCATAGCAGGAGGATGAGTAAGTGCATCGCATGGTATAAAGTAGTCATTATGTTCTTCTGTCACAACTTTCGTAATCAATGAGTTTCCTGCTTTATCCGAAAGTTTGTCACCATTAATATTGACAGGAGGAAAACGAGTAAGTTTACCATAGGACATAGAGTAGATTTTATGTTCTTTTTCTGCAGTTGGTTGCACATCATTCCGCACAGTGAAATCAAGTCGTTGGTATTGATTGTCCATATCAACAGGATCCTGATAATCATTGACTGAAATGATTTCAAAACCCTGTTCATGCTGAAGTTTTAATGGTTTTGCCTCGGTATTAGTGTAAGACCGGGTGTTGCCTCTGAATGTTTGCATTAGTTCTTCTCCTTCAGCAGCCTTTCTCATACCAGTGCATTTAGATTCACGCTTATATTTTTTACGTTTCCTGACATTTGAAAGAGAAATCATAGAAACAGTTAAGATTTTCATATTTTTTGTATATAAATTAAAAACGTGACTGTGAAAGTTTTAAAAAGTGATCATATTATATGAGATTCAGAGATAACATTGAGCGTGTACATGTCTAAAACAAACAATTCTATAAAAGATATTCAAATACGTTAAACAACTATGATAAATAACTTTTTGGGGTTCCGTAGGTTGTCTGTAGTAAGACAAAAATCTGCCCTATCCAAAATACCCTCAATTTTGCAATGGTCAATCACCTTGGTCTACCTAAATGTATTGCAAATATTTTCTCGTCACTAATATGGATCAAATATCTGCAATTGCAATTGAAAAATCGTCAAACATCAATCAATCACCCAAATATTAGAATTCTTATCAATAAACTAGAACACGTACAATTATAATTAAAAAAAAATCATAGTCAAAATGCGTATATTTTTGTACCGTTCTATGTTATTACTACCACTGTTTGTTAACTGTAAATCACAAAGGGTATCCAAAGTCAAATTTTTCGGTATCGACAAGAAAATCATAGTCGAAATGCGTAAATTTTGGTACCGTTCTATGTTATTACTACCATTGTTTGTGAACTGTAAATCCTAAAGGTTATCCAAAGTCAAATCCTTCGGTATCGTCAAGAAAATACAGATATTGTGGTATTGAAATTTGATGTTTTAAATAATAAGAAAATAACTTAAAATGAAGTAATGTATTTCATTCATGTTAAGTTATGATTTCTTGTCCGAGATTGGCTATATATTTGGTCCTGTCGGTGATATCAACTCGTCAACACTTATATTACTTTTTGTTAAAAAAAATACCAGTTTCATTTTTTGTTCTTTGCCTCGAACGTCGCATATAAATAATATTGACAATTTACCGTTTTCTTTTAAATAGAATCAGGATCCCAATTACCACAATAGCAACAGCTATCACGGCGCCAATAACGGTAATAACTGAAAAATACATATACATCTTCATTATCTGTATTTCTGAAATAGAGTCGGTGTTTGCAAGTCCCCTCTCGGCTTGCGTCGGTTTCTTTACCCCTATGGTTTTGTTTTTTTTCTTTGTGTGTAATGAGTCTTGAGACCTTTTCCGGTTTTGACTTGCAAGTTATTATTGTTATTTCTCTGTTAATAAACGCCTCAAATTTTAAAAATCATTAAGGTCAATATTTAGTTCATGATTTTAGTAAGTATTCATTGATTTATTCTAAGTGTATATAATGTTATTATTCTAATCATGGCGGTCTGTTCGTTGATATATTATATCATTCACAAAGTAAAAACACACCAAGGATCATCCGTATCATGGATGAGAAAATCTTTCAAAATTTCACCGAGGATGGCAGATGGACACCAATTGATAGGAAAGGCTCATACTAGCAGTCACCCTAATGGGCTCAAAGGGAATCAAATTAAAAAAGGAACACCAAGTCGTTGATCCCATGTCGCAAGTCAATGGAGGGGGTCCACAACATAAATATATATATATTCGCCCGAATGATAAACGACTATATCTCGTAAGTTGGATTAAAAAGTAAAATACCAAAAATACCGAACTCAGAGGAAAATTCTAGACGGAAAGTCCCTAAGCAAATGGCAAAATCAAAAGCTCAAACACATCAAATGAATGTATAACAACTTTTTTTGGACTCAGATCTTTAGTAGTCATTTAGAAGTTTTATTCATAAGTTCCTAATATAAGATTCGTGTAGACATTCCAGATGTACCGCATACATTTTGTTATAGTAGGATATTGTCTCATTGACATATGTCCTACATCCTGTTCTTCCTAAATCCCCAAAAAACACAACACAAAAAATAAAACTTTGGGTTAAAATGGATGGTATGGCAGAGAAATAATCCATTAGTTTAATTAACCGTATATAATGAAATGTAAAAAGTTCGTTAAAAGGTTTCTTAACCAATATTCAAGAGCTTGCAGCTGATTCTCAAAATTTGTCGTCAGTGTCTGAGCAAACGTTAACAAATGTCCCGTTCCTTTTCTTAAGCAGTTGATCGACTGGTACCAAAAAAAAATCTTTGAGAAATATTCATGGTCAACTTCCCAAATGATGCAGTCTCGAGTTATAGATAATATGTGCTGACGTTGTGTATCATTTTATTTTCTTTGCAGTTTTCCCTTTTTTGTCTTTGTACTATTGTGTTTCATTTAGTCGCAGGACATTTGACTTGGATCGGTTTTTATGCATCCAACTTTCTGGTTTATGGCTTTTGGCATTCCTGATGCGGTTGGGTTCATAGGTGCGATTCGGGCGCATAATATTTTATATTGTTATTTTCAGTTTGCATACCCTTGTATTTATTTTTCATTTAATTTGTACTTTAAGAGAAAGTGTATATATAATTATGTTTTACATACTATCCTACCGACTACAAAAACGTTTTTGTTAAAGAAGAGAGGCGAAAACTACCAAAAAACTCATAAGTTGAAAATAATGTGACAACGCCATGGCAAAAAAAAGAAAAAGACCAACAGACAAACAACAGTACATAAAACACAACATAGAAAACTGAAGACACGAACCCATCCAAAACCCGGAAGTGAATTCAGGTGTTCTGAAAGGGTGAGGAGATCCTGCTCCACATATGACACCCGTCGTGTTGCTCATGTAAATACAAACCGGTGATAAGACGTATTTAGTCGGTAGGTCACACTCGGGGAAAAGAAAACCGGATGGTGGTTACGGCAATTGGAACATATCCGTCGTAACTGTAAAAAAGGTATTCAAAAACGGACAAGCAATTAGTGATGACGTCCGTAAAATTTACGAAAGGATGATTTCAACTTCGCCCCTTGGAACGCATAGCTTCCTTGTATGCAACATTCTTCTTTCAAGGAAATCATGATAGGAAATACAAGCCCTTCAATATAGTTTCAACTAGGAGGTATATACTTCGTGTACAGGCACTGCTGGAATGTTGCTCCATAGAAATGGAAAGCTCACTATTGGGGAGCTGAAACCCTCTCTTTTGTCGAAAAGTTTTGTTTTCAACCTACCCTCATTGTCAATTTCTAGATGTAAATCAAGATATGAGGCAGACTTAACTGTATCTGTTATATCCTTTATCTCAAGTTCGAGCTCCTATATGAGTTCAGCCTCATATGAATAAAGGAACAAGTCGGCAATTGCCGATTGTTTATTGGAAAACACGTCCTCCAAGCGTAACAAATATGATGTTAATCAAGATATCAAGCATCTTGATAATGTCAGTTTCAGAGATGTTCAGTATGTTTGTTTGGATTTTTCAAGTCAGTTGTGTTGTATATCTATAATGTACTCAATTTTGGCTACTGGATCCCAATTATTGTCACTTTAACCAATTAAGTCTGTTTGGGTTGCTCACACAATTTGGTCAATATAACAGAAATATAAACAGCTGTCGTACAAGTGGGAGGTTTAGCTAGCTTTAAAACTAGGTTTAATCATCCATTTTGTTCAGAAAATGTCTGTACCACGTCAGGAATATGACAGTTGATTTTCGTTCGTTCTATTGGCAGATAGAGTCGATTGTTAGGTTTTATAAACTTCTCCCTTTTTGAATTTTCTTTGAAGTTCAGAAAGTCATTAAAATAGAAAATAGAAAAATATAGCGGAATTGTGATGACGACAGAATGAAAATGGTACACATTCAGATTGTGTTGTACTAAAAGAAATATTAAAGTCATATGCACCAAGATTATTTTCTAGAAATATTTTTGCTGTTCAACATAGATATAAGAAGATGTGGTACAAGTGTCAATGAGACAACTCTCCATCCAAGTCACAATTTGTAAAAGTAAACCATTATAGGTCAAAGTACGGCTTTCACCACAGAGCCTTGGCTCTCACCTAACAGCAAGCTATAAAGGGCCCCAAAAATGACTAGTGTAAAACCATTCAAACAGGAAAACCAACGGTCTAATCTATATAAAAAACGAGAAACGGGAAACACTTATGAACCACCTCAACAAACGACAACCACTGAACATCATGTTCCTGACTAAGGACAGATGCAATCAAATGCAGCGGGTTTAAATGTTTTAATAGGCGCCAACCTTCACCCTAACCTGACACAATAGAGTAACATCACAGAAAAGAAAGACACACTATAAAATATCAATTGCAATGGCTTAACTCAATCAAAAGACATATTAACAAAAACAAGTGAACATTCACTGAACGAATAAGTTTGATCTATGACACAATGTAAATACAAAATTAATAATACCTGTTACTTGAATCATGGTCACTGGAACCGATGGTTTTGTCCCAGGTGTAGCTGTGGTAGAACCCACGAAGTTAATCGTCTGTTCCCGTTGAGTGCTAGACTTGTTGATATTAATTGTTATTGTCCGACTTTCTATAAATTTTGAAATATTTAAGATACTTACGTTTGGTTATCGACAATGTCCTAAAGTAATGGGCTTATTTACAATTTAACTGTCTCCAAATTGTGTTTGGCAGTTTTAAATGTGCTAAATATGGAATAACCAGACATTGTGCCAGGACTATACAGATATGTACACATCTTGTAAGCTAGAGAAATCTAAGGTATGCAATTCATATAGTCGGTATAACGTGTTGTCTAAATGTCATCGAACAAACTTTAACTGAATATATTTTGATTACAAACTGTAGTTTACAAAAATAAAATTAATAAAAGTGTTAATCATTTTCTAGTTTATTGTATGCTTTCGTCGCTTTTTTTTGCCATGATTTTGTCGATCTTTCCTTGTCTTGTTAGTTTTAATTCTCCCTTTGGTATTGTCTACCTTATTGTTTCTTAATGAGGAATGAATGTTAGGCTGACTTTATTTTTAACAGGAATAAAAAAATATTTTGAACGAGTATATTTCCGGAATAAAAGAGTAAATTCGGGTTTGAATTCGTTTTTCATCTATAAAATTCATTCCTATATGTTTTTCTGAAAACATTACAATTTAGAGCTTGACATAATGAGACCGCTGTAGACCTATATATGCCTAGTCAGGATTTGGTCATGTATGAATTCTGCCTTATTTACATATATACCCAAAATCTTCCTCTGTTCATATCCTTAAAACACAAGAAAAATTGAAGCGTCTGCAATACTAACCCGAGAAATCGGGTAAATGCCAGGTGCCGCGGAACGGAAAATAATACCTAATTGTAATGCCCAAAATAACCGGATTTGTTGCCCAAGAAATATGTTGTTCATTTATAATTAAAAACAAGGACAAAGAGCAAGGATTGTGACGTTTTCAAATGGAAAATATAGCTACATGTACATGGTAACTGTGACACTTATTTCTGTGAAAACTATAACATATTCTATTTGAATAAATGCTTGATAAGTGAAAATTATTTATTTGTGTTGTGAAACACATTCACATTTAAACATTTATATTCTGTTCCAAAACATATAATGTGAACTGTACGATTGCTCTTATACAAAATTGCATCATACCTGTTTCTTTTGTCACTGATATCTTAGTCGATTCTGTAGAAGACACTTTTAATGTAACTGCATTTGTCCGTTGAGTGGTAGACAGACTTGTTTTCATATCGATAGCTGTTGTTATTGTTCCATGTTCTATGAATAAAAAAAGAATGTAAGTTACCTTCATGTTGGAATTGATAGTGTTCTTAAGGGGCAAATTTTTAACATGTTTCCATATCTTCCTTTACATAGTTACAACATCTGTTGAATCTAAGCTTTGTACGTAGTTGCAAATACGTTCGACTCTTATCTTAATTGACTAGGATTGTCAGTTTTCCTGCCGAATGTCGGTGGTTTTCCCCGGGCATTCAGGCTACCTCCACCAATAAAAATGGACCGTCACGAAATAGCCAATAGTATTGAAGGTGGCGTTGAAGACCAACAATCAATAAATCAATCAATCAATCAATGCCTGCAAATTTTGTTTTGTAGTATTAAATGTATGATAATTAGAATGAACAGACATCTCCTTATTTTTTGTTATGTTCGAAATATAAATTTCTCCTGGATGTAGAAACCCAAAGCACGTGAATAATGTTTTATCGTATTTCTTATGTTGAATCTTTTCAGAAGATAATTTAAAGACAAATCGAACTAGTCCTCTAATGTATAACATTCGTCACTTGGGATTTTCTCTATATATCTCATATAAAAAAAGTTTTTTCAAAAAAAAATTTTGAAGTAATTTCGTGTTTGATTTTAAACAACTTGGTACCAATATATATTATAACAGAAGAATATCCGAAGCAATGTCTCACCAGGAACCAAAGATCAGCCTTGTCGAGAATGCGATGTGGGACGCTCCCTCTAGAACTTGAAAAGGGGCGTATCAGAAATATTCCCGTTGAACAAAGACTATATGCAAAATGTGTGACAGTGGCAAAGAAGGAGATGAGCTCCATCACACGCGTTGCTCATGTCATGTAAAAAATGCGGTGTCGTGTCGTTTTTTAGTCACGAACAAGGGAATTAGTCAGGATTGTGAGTATGTCAAATTCAATTTTCTATATTTAGTTATGAAACTGTAAAACTATAGTATAACCCACATTGTTACTTATAAAACACATTAAAGTTGACAAATGGATAAGTTCTACGATAAGTCTAGTGTACTGTTCATGCTCTAAGATTGTTCAGTAAAAATATTGTCGTCTGCGTCATACCTGTTACTTTAGTCATGTTAACAGAAACGGATGTGTCTTTTCCAAGTGATGATGTGGTTGAAGCCTTGGAGCTGATTTCCGGAAGAATGGTAGACAGACTGGTTTTCCCATTGACATCTGTTGTTTTTGTTTCTGGTACAAAGAAAAATGAAATATTTCAGTAACCATCATGTAAGTACTAGAAGTAGTCAAGAAATAAGGGGCTAATCATCCATGAAAGGCTTCTGCATTTTTTTTGTACTGATATATAATAAATGTCATTTAAATATCTTTAAAATGTGTTCGAAGCGTGTTCAGCATGGAATTATTAAATTCCGAGGTTACTTTGTATAAGGCTTCGAAATATTTAGAAATCCATTGATCTTGTCGGCATAACATTTCTATCTGTTTCTTTCTGGTTACGAACAAAGCTATCATTGAGCTAATATTGCAATTTCTTTTATTTTGCAATGTTTCAGAAGATTTTTTTGTGACAATTAACAAGTTTTGGTATAAACCTACTGCGAACGTATGCTCCTTTCCAGCGTCAAATAAGCTCACAGCAGGCGTTTACAGGGGCGAGGCAATTTATACATTCACCTTTCGTTAGTTATTCTTGAAAAAGAAATTCAAATGTCGAATTCTTTAATGCCTTTAGATCATAAAATATCACATTATTAATTGTTAGAATATTCTTCCCCCTCGGTATGTTGCCACATATCGGACCAGGTTTAAATTGGTGGCATTGTTAATGTGGGAGGTATCTGTACAAAATCTTTGTTAGTTTTTGATAAGTAGGTTTATGATGTAAGAGACAACAAGTCACCAAGGAATCCCAGTATAGAGGGTTGATATAACGAGGGAGCATTGTATGTGTTCAGGATTAGTCGACATTCGAAATTAGAGAAAACAATATTTGAAATTTTAAATCCAAAATTTCAAATTCGATATTAATATTAAGTATCTATCAATATATGAGGTTCGAAATTCAATATCCAAAAAAGGCAATAAGAAGAAAGTTTTCAACTGAAATAGCGAAATAGGAAAATTAAATTGCTTGTAACATGTCATAAACACCAAATTAAAGGCTAGTGAGCATGTTAACAAAACAAGATGTTCGTTAGACTCTTGTCAACTAATAAACGCCCAAAAGTAAGAGAGGGTGCATACGATATCTAATTTAAGCATGAACACACATGATAAAAGGTTTGATCAGAACTAATACCTCTTACTTTAACATCAGGAATTCAATACAGAGCATACATGTATCTTTTTTCTACTACATGTATTTATAAACTGCAATTGTCTTGGATCAATGATACTAAGAATAACCTGTATCTGTACAAATCCAATTAAGTTTTTATAGATAATGCACATTTAAATGTTTTTCTTGTTGTAAAAAACACCGAGGGGTGTCAGGATGGATCAAATAAAAGACTGGCCGTAGGGAGGTCTTTCTTTTGGGCAATCCTGACACCACGAGGTGTGTTATACAACAAGAAAAAAACCTTAAAATACGCATTATCTATAGAAACCTAATAGGATTTGTCATTTACTTAGTTTCATAGCAATTGTTATTATTCAGCTCAACATTTTAAACATTTAGTTCTAATTTAGTAAAAGTATTTCATTGGTCGAACTGCTTCACAACTTAAGCATAGAATAATTTTTCTGGTTTGTTTCAACCGAAAAATACCATCAAACGTTTAGCAGTGAAAGCTTAAACAGCTTCACAACTTAAACGTCATCTTCTGATTGGGGATGATCCTTTTGTTTGGGTTCAACCGAAACGATCCATCTATCGTTCAGCAGTTTAAATTATAAGCTCTGTAAAAAAGCGTATATCGCGCTTAATTCAGAAAATATCATTGTGTAATCGTATATTTTTGTCAACATATGTTGGTATAAAATACTGAAACAACACCACTGAATATTTCAGGTATATCATATGAATATTGAAATATGCATCAAAATAAATGAATACGAGCATCAGTAAAATTATGAATTTTAAAGAAAGCTTACCTTGATATGAAGGAGATAAATTGCTACTGTTAAACTTAATACTTGTATACAAAAATAGAGGTAATCATTATAGAGGTGTGTCTGTTGAAAATAAATGAGAACAAACCTCGTCTGTTTTGTTAAATAATTTAGTTAACACCTTCTTTGTGTTGTCTTAATTGCTACTCGTTGAAATAGTCATCAGCAGCTATTAACACGATCGATACATTTGGCAAACCTGTATTTCTTACTCCGCCACTTATTAATTAATTCATATGATCTTTATTTCTATATCACATCATATGTTGCATTACATTGCATGAAACTCAAAATACAAAATGTGTTAAGGATCGGAAAGCGATTCTGTCATTCAATTTTTGTTATTTTCCATATTGAAATACATAATCTGTCACGCACCAACGATTATTTGTTTCACTAAAATTAATTCTGAGGCCTGAATCAATTTGTATATTATAGATATATGGAAAACATATAAATGTACGTATAGAGAATGAGTAAAAATATTTAATCTTAAATGATACACTTCTACCTTCACACTTTGCAGAGATGTCGGTCATGGTATTATAAGTTGTTGTCTCGCATAATGCTGGACATTTAGCACCCTGACATGACATCGGGACATACTGCATACTTTTATTTACCGATACACATTTGACATTCAATACGTCTTCCATGGTATCTGAAATTATAAATACATTTGTAGTACCCTTATCCTCTCATAGAGGCGGGGTGTTACATGAGATGCTCATTTTCCAAATCCCACTTTTTTGTATTTTTTTCTGAATATTAACGACCATGCTCCGTATCGGAGTATAGAGTAATTGATATTATATTACGAACACAACTAATTACATAAGAATATTGATTAAAAGCCCAGTTAATAACATCAGAATTTAACAATGGATAATCATCAAATATAGCACTATTTTTGGAATATGACAGTTGTTATCCATTCGTTTGATGTGTTTGAGCTTTTGAGTTTGCCATTTGCTTAGGGACTTTCCGTTCAGAATTTTCCTCGGAGTTCAATATTTTTTGTTATTTTACTTTTTCCTGTATTTGTATGAGTAAATTACACAACAAACTTCAGTAACCGAGCAAAAGGTACAAAATCCAAATAAACAAAAATCGAGATTGGGAACGAATATATCAACGAATGTACAAATGTAAGACAAACTCTTCGTGATTCATAAAGATCAGTCGGTAACGTTTCAAGCTGATATGGGAGTCATATGGTTTAGATGAAAAGCAATTAACATTGTAAACTATTATAAGCGAGTGTACACAGCCGGATAATCATTTTGAATATGAAATACGTGATATTTGTTTTGTTTATATTCGATTATAACCATATAAATATACTGTGGTCGGTGAAAATGCAGCTTTACTGAACGGTTAATTTAATCATGACACATTATATACAGTCCGCCAAAAGTTAAGCACCACCTATTTTTATTGCATCAATTTTTTTTCATTTAAAAAAATCAGTTAATCCTCGAAAAAGAGAAAATATTCATGTAGCAATTTTGCTAACATATACCATAAACAAACCGTAGATTTAAGTTTGTTCGCGTATGCAGGTTCTATGCATTTGAAATTTGCGTTCATAGAAATAGTGAAAATTACACAAATCAGAAACGGAAATTAAGTTTCACTGTGATTTTATTTTTTTACAACAATTAATCAACCAATATCATTAAGAGTCTCTACAAATAATCTTTGGTGTGTTCGGCAAATTTAATGTCAATATTTGAGTCAATAGGATGTGTAACACCCTCTCTTCCGGTACAGTTCCATAACACGAAGTCTCATACTCTGTACAAGCCTTCTGAACTTTAGTTGAGTAAATTTATTCCATTCAGAAACAATTGCGCTTCTTAAATCGCTAAGATTTTGCAAAGGTGGATCTCTGCGATTGAGATTTCTGCCAATGGCATCCCAGACATGTTCGGTAGGGTTCATGTCTGGAGACATGGAAGGCCAAAAGATAGTGTCAATGGCATTTTGCCCTTTGTACTCTTTGTACTCGGTTACAATCCTTGCCCTGTGTGGTCTAGCATTGTCGTACATGCACAAGGGTCTTGAAGCAAGTAGAGGAGTATCAAAATGAGGGACTACAATGTTTCTAAGCACCAAATCCCTGTATGTCTGTCCGTTCATGTTACCCTGCAGAATATGCATACCCACCTTACAATAGTATGAGAAGAAACCCCATACTGTAACACCACCAGCAACGTATGCAGTCGTTGGGCAAATGTTGTTTTGGTCATTAGCAGTTTTATTTCCACGACAAACTCGTATTCTGCCGTCTATTGGTCGTAACAGAAACTGACTCTCATTTGACCAATGAACATTTTGCCAGCTTCTCATGTTCCAGCGTCGATGGTCATTAGCCCTTTGAAACCTGATCATACGGTGCCTGGTTGTTAGGGCAGGTCTCTTGATAACACGACGTGCTCTTAGGTAGCCTCTATGAAGTCGACGGACCAATGTTCAAACACTAACTTGACCAATCTGACGCCAGTGGTGTCTAAGTTGTGGGGCAGGAGTAAATAGGTTGGCTTTAGCACAACCAATAAGGAGTCTGTCATCACGATCGGTAGTTAAAAGAGGTCTTCTGGACCTTGGTCTATCATTTACAGTTTCTGTGTCAACATGACGTTGTAAAAATCTGACAATGACGGTGTGTTTAACATTGAAATGGTTACCTATGCAACTAGTGCTCCTAACGGCATTTGACATGTCAATTGCTTGTCAAGGTTCAGTCACATATAACTTACCCCTTGCCATATTTCACAGTGACTTGGTGAAGGTCAAATTTCACCTGTACGCGGGACAGTAGGAAGATGATTTAAAGGCATCGAAACAGTGTATTCGAAAAAGTGCAGATGACCTTTAATAAAAAATTGCTTGGCGTGTTTATCGGAGTTTATTTTTTGGGGTCTTAATGAATTTTCTTAGTGTATGTTATAGGCAATTCATAACACCAAACATAAATATTTTTTTCGCAATAATTAAAAAAAATATTACCAGTAATATTTAGGTGGTGCTTAACTTTTGGCGGACTGTATATGAACTACTTAAGAACTTCTAATGTTTAACGTAACAATTTAAGTGTTTGAAAAGCTATTAAAACGTTTAAACCCGCTGCATTTGTTTGCACCTGTCCTAAGTCAGGAATCTGATGTTCAGTAGTTGTCGTTTTTTGATGTGGTTCATAAGTGTTTCTCGTTTCTCGTTTTTTATATAGATTAGACCGTTGGTTTTCCCGTTTGAATGGTTTTACACTAGTAATATTTTGGGGCCCTTTATAGCTTACTGTTCGATGTGAGCCAAGGCTCCGTGTTGAAGACCGTACTGTGACCTATAATGGTTTACTTTTATAAATTTTGACTTGGATGGAGAGTTGTCTCATTGGCACTCATACCACATCTTCTTATATCTATTTGTGCACAGTGCATTATGAATCTCTTGTTTTAATTTCAGATGTACACTATAGGAAAAAAAAAATAAATTGATTAAATGCACTCACAACAATAATATTTTTCTTCATTTTTCCCCATCCATTTTAATACATGTCGTCTGTGAAAATTCGTCCAGTATGGTGTCAAATTTGCAAGTTTGTTCACATTTTCAATGACAGAAATATTACTTATCTTTGAAGAACATAGCTCAACATCATATGCACGAGATACTTGAGTCTGAAGTGATTTGACATCTAAAGCAGAACAACAACAGATGATCAAATGATTAAGAAAAGATTGTAGATTTTCCTTGATATCAATACTTTTACACGATGTCAATAATTAGGGTTTTACTGTATAGACAATGACTTGTCTCCTTGACTGTATGAGGCCTCTCCAGTTTTTGTGTTTCCTCGATTTACTGTCTCGTTGACACATGTCTCGTTGACACATACTTGACGTCACTCGTTATATATAATCACCCATTGTAGTACAACGAATGCAGTAATTACCTTCAATGTAATGCACTCATTTGTCTACGTCCCTTTAAAATATTTCATGTAAAGCGATCTATTTCTTAAATAGAAATTTGACTTATTCATGTGGGTGACCACCTTGTAAAATGGAATGTATTTTGGAAGTAACTATTGTTCGTTTGAGGTCTATATATTTTCAAAAATATATTATCAAAAATCTAAAATTTCATAAATGGTAGCTGAATTAATATCCAGTATTTGTCTCCTTGCTTTACTACCTCTGAGAATTTTTTTCAATTAATAAAAAGGTTGCCCATTTGATCGCTATAGTAAATAAATATTTCACAACCACAACTCTAAATAGATAGGTATATGTGACCACAACAGTCTTTCAATTGTTACTGTATGTAACATGTATTTAAATACAAATATTTGTATGTACATACAAATAAAAGGTCTTATGTTGACCTAATGGAAAGGTGTTCATTAGGTCTTATGCAGAAAATTTATGAAACACTGATCTTGTTTTCTAATCCAATTTTCGAATTACTTGTATACTTCATATTTATTTATTCTTGCAGTTTTACGGGATGAATTATTCAATAGAAGGAATTTTATACAATTTGACAATTTAAAAAAAAAATTTTATAACAAATTCTTAGATAAATATACATTGCATGATAAGTGACGTATTTGAAAAATCTGATTTCTATAAATTTATTTTTTAAGAGATTTGTATATTTAAACAGATTATACTAAGTCATGTCTTTTAAATACTTTAAGAAATGCAGCATTCATATATTCTTGTGAACACTCAAAAGGTTCAAGTTTTGTTTTGCATTCAATTTAATCTTTTTGTTGCCCAAATTATATAATAATCAACATTATTTTCATATTGGAAAATTGAATTAGAATCCAACATTTTGTTATTTATTTTTTCTTCTCTATGCTATTCTTTTCACTTTATCCAACACTATAATATATGCTTATTTTTAAAGATCATTGTTTAAATTGAAAAAAAAATTGTAAGTCTGTTCATTTATCGATTTCAGTATTTCAATAATTGTTTGTCCGGAAAATTTTACCCATCTTTACGACGAGATTTGTGCCGATAAAGGTGATATTTGATAGATAATACATTTACCTATATGTTCATAAACTGTATAAAACTCTGTGTCTCCACTTAGAAGTTTTTCTGTACCATTACAAATGCGAGCGCATTTTTTAATATTAGTCTTTGTCATGTTCGATGTATCGTTAAGGCAAGCACACACATTTCCCTGAAAGGATTTATCCTGCATATTTTATATGATAAACCATTGAAGTGTATAAATAAAAAATGTAAATAAAACTACCAAAGTAAATTAATGACATGCTAAAATAAAAAATATGGAAGGGTATGTAAATCATTCTTTCCATACTCTTTTTTTTCATCAGATTTTAATGAGCTCATAGAAAACGATCTCTCGAACTTGATTAAAAACATCAAATGGTTGAAATTTAAAAAAAAAATGATCAATGTAAAAGAAAGTAAGTAGGTTGCAACGAAAAACAGATCATTTTCGTCTAGTTCAGTATAGAGGAGGTATGACAGCTTAGGTGATGTGTGCAAAACATTTCAGGACACGTGGTACAATTTTAGTGTCCCTTCAACTAAATATAGAAAAGATCCATTTGTTAAAGTTTTTATATCGGATGTACTCTTTTTCATACATGAAAATTATAGAAAGTTTG